CGGCTGGAGCCGACTGTCAAGTGGACAAAAAGTGAGCCTTTTCGACACCCTTTCCTTTTGCGTTTAGTCAGAAAACTAATGGATCAGCTCCTTCGGGAGGTATATAGCACCAGAGCAACATCTCTTAATAGGGTTTTTTCTGCAATACATATATATGAATGCAATAATGATTTTCCCTAACAGCGTTACTCTGTAATAAAATCTACTGGAAGGAAAAGGGGGATGAGGTAAAGATGGGAACACTTGGTCATGATCCCATGATCAAGGACGTTGGGTCGTGTTACGCGTTCAACTTCAACATTAAAGGCAGCGCCCGCGTTCATTTGATGTTCCTACGCCCTCCTTAGATATCGTAGCTTTGTCGACAAGGGTGGAGGATGTACTAATTTCGCAGCTCAAAAATACGAGAGGATGGCGCCACCCGCTTGTGAAGAGGATGCCGCCCCGCCCACCTGGCTGAACTGCTTTGGCTTAGCCTTTGAATAAGAACCTGTTGCTGCCAGAGTGGGGCGGAGCGGCCGACTCTTCTCACTAGCGAACGACGTTAATTCTCTTCGCCTTTTAGATGCCAAAAACTTAGTCGTACTGCATCCGCGTAGGGGCAGGGCTATGATATCCGAGGGCGCGCGGGACATGTACAAGTGTACCTGGGGCGTGAGTGGACTGCCAGGAGTAGAAAGTTTCTTGAGCCGAACAGGTTTCGATTCAACAGCAGCTGGCGTAGAGCCAAGTAACGGGCAGAACGAATGATGTAGCCATAGTGGTTGCAGAATTGCTCGAGGGCTGCCTCTCTCCTGTCAACAGTATCAGTGACGGAGCATGGGAATGAGAATGGACATGATGGGGTAGGGGGCGGGTGTGGTGACATTAGTGACGTGTACACACCGCAATCCGGCGCAATCCGGTTGCTGCGAGCATGGAAAATGATGAGTTCTACCTGGCCCTGGACGGGGACATAAGATCAATCCTGAAAGATGACTACCTCACCATAGCTGGTGATCTAACCATAAGTGGAGAGAAGTAAGTGATTTCTCGAATTCCATTGTTAAAGGTGAGCAGCTCTGAGACCTTCTCTTTCGACAATCTCGAACACTGGAGGACCGTGAAGAGTGATCCTGCATGTGCGCATGTACGTTTTGAGATCTCTAAAAAAACGCGCCCTCTGTGTTCTGGTTTACCAACTTGTTCTTCTGTAGGACTAAAAGCACTGTATATGCTGTAAGAGCTTTCCTTTCCTGGGAATGGAAAAGCGCGATACATCACATCTGCAAGGAAACGAACTGCTTAATGCCGGCGACAAATGGAGAGGAAGAAGACCACTCCCGATGGAGTTAGAACGCTCTTTCACAAAAATTTGATGGAGTTTCTGACAAGCTTCCATCTAAGGTAAGTGCACATCACCGCCTTTTTTGAGGTGGGGTCGTATATGGGGGCTCTATGAGGAAGTGGTCGAATCTGTTTCGCTAATCCTACATCCAGGTGATCTACCATGAGACGGGAATCATCATACTTTGCGTAGTGTATGTGCAGCACTACTCTCCCCTCTCCCTTCAACCACTCACCTCCTCATCCCCTCGTTGCGCTGATAGTTCTGAAATACTGCGACTCTGCGTTCGTCGAAATCCCACCAACAATCTGACCGAGATTCCCGACATTGTCGGACGATGCACAGAGATTGTCCCTGGACGAAAAAAACTCACTACCCGGTTTCTGGCAGTTTTCGAAAGGCGTCAGTGAAATCGGGGCGGCGGTACCGTATAAAAGTGCGGGGCGCACTTTCAGTCCGCGCCGCTTCTCGTTCCGTGTTCGAGCCAGCTACCATTATCCTGTGTCTTAACGCCAGTTCCTTTAGCGATCTGATCTGTGGTATCTTACAGACACATTGCAGATGGAGACGACGGAGCAGAAAGAACTGCGTCGTGGTTGCTTTCTTCGCCATCGTCGTCAGTACAGTGGCGGTGATTGCCGCTGTCGTCACTCTACCCATGCTCTACAGCTACGTCGCAAATTTCCAGTCTCATCTCATTATCGAGACCGACTTTTGCAAGGTTTGTTGTCTTGTGGTCCTTCGAGCCACCCACAAAAACAGCAGTGTTTTTCAGACGCGAGCCAGAGATATGTGGGCCGAGATTCATCATATTGATGGACCAGAGTTCATGCGTGCTAAACGGCAGTACGGCTCCTCTCCCAATCCACCTCTTGCCAATCCAACTGGCAGTTATGGACAACCTATTGTCAATCCCGAGCCGGCCCCAACTTGTTGCCCTTGCCAGCAGGGACCAGTTGGACCACCAGGACCACCTGGAGACGACGGTGAAGACGGTGAGGATGGAGCTCGTGGCAATGATGCCCCCAGTGGAAAGGTTCGCACTTATGTTGGCAACATTAGGTCCATAGATATTTGCTAAATTAACAAAGGTGTAGTGAGCAACAATTCTTTAGGATGGAAGCATGCTCGAATCGGCTATCAGCAATGATGCCTGTATAATCTGCCCTCCTGGTCCACCGGGACCCCAAGGTATGGCAGGTGGTAAGGGGCCACAAGGACCAAAAGGAGCACCTGGAGAAAATGGCGAAGACGGCAAACCAGGACTGCCCGGAATGCAAGGTCCGATGGGTATGATGGGAATGCCGGGAAGACAAGGTGTAGCAGGACCAAAAGGTGCACCTGGAAGGATTGTACAGGTACATAGCCTATTCAAGGATAATTCTAAGCATTCAAATGTTAACGCTACTTCTTTAAGGTCAATGGCCCAGCCGGACCAACAGGACACAAAGGACCCCGTGGACCACCAGGGCCGCGTGGAGAAGCCGGACTTGATGGAGGAAACATTGAAGGACCGCCAGGTCCTCCCGGACCTGCAGGGCGTTCGGGTCCTCCTGGACAGCCTGGACCACAAGGACCACAGGTGCGGCAAGTTGTCATAAAGATTACTCCAAAATGATCGTAATGCTTTTGATGGAAGGGTTACGTTCAAGGTTCTCTTTTTTTGTGGAGTCTACCTTAGGAAGTTTTGTCTGTGTAAAAACTGCTCTTTGCTGCTAATAACAACCATTTGTTCTTTGAAATCATAGGAAAATCGGAATCAATTCTGTTTCAGGGAGTGCAAGGATCAGCTGGCGAGCCAGGAAGTTGCGAGCACTGTCCTATTCCACGCACACCACCTGGTTACTAGACCTGCGCTCAAATGCACATGTGCTACAAAGCTCCGCCCGTCGTGGGTGTTATCGAACAAAGTATACGATAAAAGAAATAAACTTGTTCATTTTTTTGGTGTTTAGCAGAAATCCAGCTACTCAACATACTATTTAATAGAGTCAGGAATTTAAAAGATAACCGATTTCTTGGTACTAACTGAAGGCTAAGAATTGGATCTCATGTAAGCCGTCTTTCTCGCGAGGCAATGCAGGCTCTGGGGAACACCTGGCATTTTCTTCGGAGCCGAATGCGAGTATTTCATTTCATATACAAAAAAGTTTGAAAATGTGAAGTAAATTGAGTGAACAGAGGATTTGGAATAAGTTCATTCATGGTCCCATAATCTTTTTTCAACATATCTAGCCCATTGAATTCGGACTAAGGCCTTTTATGTAGAGGACAACTTGAACGGGCAAAAAGTCCATGTCGTACAAGGGATACGTGAATATGGACGCCAGAGATCGCTATCTCAAGATCTTCCGAGCACCATGTAAGTGGACTACACCTGCCCTCACTCAGATCCTATCAGTTCGCGCTAAGCTCAAACATTATGAAGTACTACCAAATATGATCCCACCGTAACCTGTAGATCTGAAGAAACAGTTCATATCTGGCATGGTGACAATATCAGAGACTGTGCCAGACAACGAATAGTGCTCAGCTCATTATAAAAGGCGAGTGCTCATTTCAGTGCCTTTGAACGGAATCTAGCTGTGAAGTGCTTCTGAAAGAAAAACTGATTACAAAGAGCTGTTTCGAACCTTCATCCTTCTTTGATACTTCTCACATCAAGAGATTTGACGACGCCGTATCACCATCTTGTGCAGGCATGGGTACAGCATGGGGATGTGCGAAATGGCGGTGTGAGTACGACCCCCCCCTCTCGAAGAGGGGGTCCAGTTACGACCCCCCCCCCCTCCTGCTCTAACTGACAACCAGATGCATGTTCACACACAAATGGCTTCCTGAAATGGAATCTGGATTTTCGAAAGGCGGACTCTGCTCTAAAATCCAGGCAATAATAGGCTTTCAGCCTCATGCAATATGAGGCTGAACAGCCTACATGCAATTATGAGGCTGAACAATAGCGCATTTACCTATCAATTTTGCTTAGGTTAAAATTAGACCTCCATGGTTTCGACAACCAATGTATGACATGCAACTTGTAACAAGGAACACAATCGAAACAGCGACTAATGGTGATCATTGATAAGCTAAATTGGTGAAAAAATAGCCCCAAGGTCAGCGTGTCAGGCCCCAAATGGGAGTCCAATGAAAAAGTGGATAACCAAGCGGCAGAATATCGCTCTATACTTGGCTACTATCATGCGTCAACGTTCGACCGCGCTTTTGAAAACGTCATTGAGCGCGTTGTTGGGCCTGCCAACGTCCTGGGGTCTTTTCGGGGGGTTATATCTCTTTGAGGGGCGCGGCTTTTGATGAATGGTTAGCAGCATGCAACGGAAATGTTCCTACTGTTGCCAAGGCACGTAATCTAAATGTCTTCCCGTTCAAAATTGAACTGATGGGTTTACGATCTGGAGCTAGGGGGTAAATGGCAAAGCCGGATTTTTATGCTTCACACGAGGATTACTTATTTCGAACGCAGTTTCGTCAGTATCAAAATCGTCTTGAAATCGCCCCATCATTTCTCTCTGAAATAAGCTTTACAGTTTTCCCCGCCAGTTCAGGAGATATTTTAGATGGGTCACAGACGCGCTACCCTCTGACCCACCCGAAAAATCGACTCCTGTGCCATTGTGAGGATACACCTTCGGAAAACTCAGTGTGCTATCAGAACACATATTTCCTTTTCAAAATGAGTGAAAGGAGCTCGGCTATCACTGATCGGTTTGGTCCGAGTGTGCGCCGTGCATTACGCTCCTACGCAGAGGTGGTGGAAAGGTGTAAATTCTGATTTCAGGTGCTTTTATCCATGCAAGCAGATGTTTGTTTAGGGTTTGGAAAGGACAATACGCACGAATCTGTTTGAGACGTATTATTTAGTCATCTACGTACTTACGAGTTCATGCTATTAACTGATATTTATTTATTTATTTATTCTTGCTATATTGCTAATCAATTTTTTATTATTTTGTAGTCCTCCTTACATCCGGGTCTTCTGCAGCTTTCCGTCCGTTCCATCAAACTTAGCAATGACACTTTTGTACTGTTTGATGCTTAGCGAGCCTACTTTTGCGATACTCCCCCCGCGGCCAAGTACGAACCCTTTCTGGGGATTTCCCATGAAAAGAGGGCTGTTAAACGTAGCAGTTAAATCTGTAAAGAATACACTCATAATAATTTTCATTTTAACATCTTGACTTCCATAGCTCCACTCCCACTATCAACTGAAATGTCGAAGCATTGCCCGGCTCTGAGTGACCCTTGAGATTACGACCCCCCCCCCCAGCGGCCAAGTACGACCCCCCTATGGGTTTCGCACAACGATGCTGTACCCTGTCTGCAGGACAGGAGTTTAATTGAGTGTGCGGCATTTCGAGAAGGTAATCTGCACAAAGTTTTCTACCACATATGCTTCCGTTCTTGACCACCATCGGTCCCAGTATTTTTGGTTTGGAAAGCAATGTATTTCACATTGGCTCAGCACGAACCGCGCCAGCTTTACCATGCCCTTCGTCCTAAGCCTTGCATTTCAGCGCACAGAAAGGATGCACACTGCAGCACACTGCGGACTTTGACTTGAGCGTTGAGGATACGTTCAGGAGTCCTCTGCCGACGTAATGATTACTGCCGTCTGGAGGCATACCCGCGATTTCTCGTTAGACATAGCCACAACCTTGCCTTAACACTATTCAGGTAATCAAGAATCTGTGACCAATGTGCGCATAACAACTGAAAAAATTTTTTGAGCAGAAGGGCGGGCAGTCCTAGAGAACGTGCTCATGTGTATGAAAACGGCGCCACCCATCGCGCTGCACGTTATTTTTTCACCTCCTCTGAGCAACAGTTCTATTCTGTACGTCTCTAACGACCACATTACGCCTCAGTTCCTGGTCAACAAACAGCGTTCATTGGAGGATTGTGCTGCTGTGGAACAGACACACTGATGAAATCTAAAGGAGATTCATCACTCTAGAAGGAAAAGCAGGGCAACATGGGAAGAGGGTGACTCCGTCAATCCCTGGGCCTTGCAAGCTCCCTTTGGATACTACAGCTGTACTATTTACGACTTTACTGGCCCAGTCATCCCGAAATCAAGGCCAAATTTCCTGAGCGACTTTTTTTCCTCGCGTGGGCAGATTTATGCCTCAAATTTTGTTCTTTTGGGGTAATTGACCTCCAGAGATACGAATATCACAATTCACTCAGCGCCGAACTTCCGCACTCTTTTGTTCAGAAATGCTTGCTCTTTGTTGAATCGAGATGCAGTTGTAGACATCATACAACACGACCCCCTTGATCTGAGCTGTTCGGGCTCTGTAGCTGTGCTGCAAGAGTATTATCGATAATCCTTATCTCGGCTTATATTTCGCATCTTCGTTGTTGCTAATAGCCAATATGATTCAGTACTTACCGAGACTACTGAATGCTAATATGCTGCATATGAGCATTTATAGTACTGAGAGATTGCACATTGGCTTTTGTGAGAGAAGCTCGTTACTGCATGTAATAGCTGGAGATTGAAAGGACAGTTATCATTTTGTAGTTCGGCACTATTTACCCTTTACTGCCCCAGCCATCCGAAATCAGGCCAGGTTTTCTGAGGCGACTTTTTCTGTCTCCGAGGGCGAACTTTGCCTGAAAAGACTTGCTTCCAGGGGTAGCTTGACCCCCTGAACACGAATACATATCACATCCGCTCAACCCGAAACCTTCACCACGGGCACCGGCGCCAAAATACCCCAAATCATTGGCGCCTGTGGCGCGGGCGCCAGGAAGTTTCGGGCTGAGCGAATGTGATATTCGTATTCTGGAGGTCAAACTACCCCAGGAGACAACATTTGAGCAAAATCTGCCCACGGAGAAAAAAGTCGGTCAGGAACTGGCCTGATTTCGGATGACTGGGGCAGTAAAGGGTAAATAGTGCCTTTTTACGAAATTCGATTTCCCTGCCCCTCCCCCAATATCTAAGAATGTGGCTGCTTGTGTATTCTTTAGAATAATTGTCTGAAAATTGTTTCTCCATTTCTGTTGTTCTAGAGACCGCCTCACTGCAATCAAATAATAGACGATGAAGGAAGAAAGGGCTTGCGTGCTATGTTTGGGTGACCACCACTCTAAAAAACAGCGACCACTTGTAACCTCTCTGATCGCTTTGAGCCTTGCAACTTACGAAACATAGTTCCTTTAGGAGTTATTCAAAAACCAAGAACCTACTGGAACACCTTACTACTTCAATGAGAAACTCGTGACTTGGAAGATCAACTACGATAGTTGTTTATAGCTACCTTTTAGCGAGCTGCTATAAAGCAGTTATCTCAACAGGGTATGTGACGGTGGGACCACGCGGTATCGCGCGCGACAGTTGCAAGTACTGCACGTTGTGATGGCGCGTGATCGCGATGGTTTTTAATGCGACAGTAACATTTTGTTGTATTACGACAATAAGTGCAGACCTTGAGCGTGTGATGTCTAGAGGACCTTGTGACAAATGATTAGGATCAGCAGATAATCTCAACCATTTAACGAGCAATTCAATCTGTGCCGGTTTCTCTGCACCGTAATGGCTATGTGATCCCTCTATTTATGCAAAAAAATGAAACCTCACGGTCACGACATCCAGGTTCTACCAGAGAGTGTGTGGTTGAAAACTGAAGAGAACGCAATCTTATTGAATAACGCAACGAATTCATGGGGAGCCTACGCTCCATTGCGAGCAGATTCCCGCGCACGCGACGTCGCGTGGTCCTGAATACCGTTTCCGTCCTAACATAATGGCGACAACGTTGTTTTTTTTGTTTCCGAGGTGTACGTTCTCAGGAAACTAGGCTATTACACTACAACAATGACAAA